GGCAATATGCTGACTCTCTGTAAACCGCTTAGAGAGGGCTGAAAGCCCTATGAAGCGGTATATAAGTCTACTGCTATTGCTATTGCTATTTCATAGATGATAAATGGTCTTGATGAGTTCATAGTGTAACAGAAAATCAGAAAATGACTTGGCTGGGTATATTACCAGCCTTAGATATTTGGTGAATGGATGTGCTACACCATTTATACATGGTGTAGTGTTCTGAGCTGCAGAGACCCATGGAGATGGCTATAAGGTTTATGCAAGCAACATTCACACAGTGTGCAAAAGAGACGATCAACAAGTTAAAAAAGGAACAAAAAGGCCAAAGTGCATCTCCACCAGCAACCAACATCCACATGAGCATAGAGTAGCACCAAGATTAACATCAAACCAACAGTCAAGAAGAAATCAAGGAACTGCCAAATAAGCTAATATTCAACAGTCTAACCAAAAACCCACCAAGATCACTCCCACCAACAATGATGGGGCAAGCCACTAGAATATCAACTGAGGGCAACTTCCACTCAGGTAGCATTGATGATGTTACCTAGTTTTGGTAATGAAATATCTGGAAAACAAATCGAGCTCAGAGAGCAACAAGGACCCCTCATTATCCCCTCATGCTTCCACATCAATTATCAAATTTCTTTTCAACCATAGTTTTTTTTTATTTTTGCAATTGCCTGCAAGGGAAGTGTGATTGTGAGATAGTAACTAGACAAGGAAATTAGAAATTTCCATTCTCCATTCATAGTCTAAAGCCACATTAGCTCTTCTTGTATTTCATCTGAGTCATGATGAAATCATTAAGGCACTAACAATGCATGCAAAACAAGGGAGCTGTGTTCTATCAGGAAATTAATTAAGTTAGCTAAAGAATGATTTTTTTCTTGCATAACACCTGACACTACAGTTCTAATAAGCCATGAGCTAAACCAATTATAAAAAGCTAAGGATATACAAAAAGCAGCTTAGGAAACATCACAATAGAGTGAGCAGTGGTAATAGTGACAATGAAAATATCATAAAAGCAATATAATAAAGGAAAAAACACAAAACTGGACACAAATGAGATACAGGAAGGTAAGGTGGAAAAAAGAAGCGTTGAAAATAAAATGCAGATAGAAGATTTCACTGAGATTTACAGTCACAAAGGAAAAGTAGACAAAGGGGGACATCTCCAAAAAAAAAAAGAAAGAAAGAAACCCCAAAATAGTAATGAAAGGAGAACAGGGAAAAACCTGGGGAAAGTTACTAGAACAATAAGAGTAAATACTCTGAAGAAAAGATACAATAACCACAAAAATAGGGGAAAGAAAAAGAAGAAGTTAGAGAAAAGGGGGAGAAGAAGGAAAAGAATTAAAACTGGGATTTTTGGGAGCCCAAGCGAAAATGGTTAAAAGAGGAAGAAGGGAAAAAGAGTTACTTTAGAGACTAAAGAGAATAGTAGTAAGGTTATTATTGTTATGTAACTAATTAAGACATAAAGAAATGATAGTATATTCCTAATGGTAGAAAAAAATTGTAAATAAATGCTCTCTATGCTTAAATTGAATTAGAGGATGTATGCTGTTTATAANTTGAGCAGGGGGTTGGACTAGAAGACCTTCAAGGTCTCTTCCAATTCTGTTATTCTGTTCTGTTAAAGGCCTGTAATATAGCTTACAGGAGCTGATTTTGGGGTCTGTATGTACCTTCCGTATTAGTGGTAGTTCCGGATCCCGTCGCAACCGATACGTTGCGACAGGGCCAGGCATCCACCTTGTGCACTGCACATGCATGCACATGCCACCACCTTGCAACACTCCAGCTGTTCAGTGGAGGTCACACAGGCGCTGTACGCTGTGTGCGTGTGCATAAATGGCCCAGTTGGCTTAAAAACAGGTAAGGAACACAGGCGGGCGGGTGGGCCCACCGAAACACCTTTCCGGTACAGTGGCCGCTGCTCCTACCATGCAACCTGGAACCCACCACTATTCTGTATCCAATAGACCATTATTTCCTAACCTTGGCAACTTTAAGACCTGTAGACTTCAACTCACAGTATTCCTATACTGACTGCAGAATTCTGGGTGTTGATGTCCACACTTCTTACAGTTGCCAAGGTTGAAAAACACTGCGACAATACCCAGCATCATTTCTCTCCAGCTTTACATAGCAATCAACCATGACTTCACTTAAAGAGAACATAAACGTATCAACAGACAATAAATCACCAAATGTTCACCAACAGGAAGTTCAATGAGCACTGGAAAAGAACAGCACGTTCCCAATTTGCTGCCCATTCCACAATTGTCAACATCAATTTCACACAGGAAGCAGCCAATATCTAGATATGAACCACCACATCATCAACCAAATAAATAATTTCCCGATTGCAAGACACCAGTCACTGACAAAACAACACTGCCCACAGAACCATCAACCAATCAAGTAACCAACCAACCAACTTCTGGTCTAATGAAGTTACCTACTAGAGTAGGGGTGTCCAACCTTAGCAACTTTAAGACCTATGTATTTCAACTCCCAGAATTCCCCAGCCAGCCATGATTGGCTGACTAAAAAATTCTGGGAGTTGACATCCACAAGTCTTAAAGTTGCCAATGTTGGACAGGCATGTACTAGAACCATGATGGCGAACCTATGGCACGAATGCCATAGGTGGCACACAGAGCCATATTTACTGACACACCAGTCGTCAGTTCCAGCATGCTGGCCAGCTGATTTTTGGCCTTCCAGGGGCAGCAGGGGAGGCCATTTTTACCCTCCCCAAGCTCCAGAAAAGCCTCCAGAGGCTAGGGAGGGCGAAAAACAGGCCCAAAGGGCCAACAGGAAGTTTGTTTCCGAACTTCTGGTTGGCCCCTTGGGGCCATTTTTTGCCCTCCCCAGGCTTCAGGAAAGCCTCCAGAGCCTGGGAGGGATCATGTGTGCATGCGTGGGGGGGGTCATGCTCACATGCGCAGATGGGTGGGGAGGATTGAATCGATGTGGGTACGCGTGCGCAATTTTGGCATACCATAAGAAAAAGGTTCGCCATCACTGTACTAGAATAATGAAAACTTTACAGTACAAAATTCAGGCACCAAGAACACCAATGATACAACATGGGCAACAACCCTCAGCTACACAGCCATGTAACCAGGTTACATTCCCTAACAAGTCCCTTCATAATCTCCAGACTTAAAGAGATGGGCAAAAGTCAAGAAAATGAAACATCTCTTACCTCAGGGTATTGAAATCTCTTTGCCTGGGAATTGAAGCCCACCTTTTCGGTGTTGGGAATCACTTTGGCGTAGCATTTGAGAGGGATGGAAGAAAAGGGTGCACCTAGGAAAGAAAATTGATGAGCTTCAGGTAAGGATGGAGCAAACCCAGATTCTAAGTTCTGCTCAGCCATGAAACCCATTGGATGAATTATAGCTTTGTGGTTCAAGTTCAGCATTACTAAGGAACTGCAGTGCTTCGGGATACCTGCCTACAGTTAGTCCTTGACTTACAATTATTCATTTAGTGACCGTTCAAAGCCACTATGGCATTAAGAAGACAAACAAAACACAATTACTTTTGTTTCTACTTGGAAACCACTTCTGGACTTTGTGCTTGAGGTGGGTGAAAAATGAAATTTTGATTTTGGGTTTTACCGATTGGATAGATTTGTTGTTATGGAAACGGCTAGTTTATACTATTATGTAAAAGTAGTTTACATAAGAGGTTTTATGTTACTATCTTATTCTACTGCTCCAAAGAGAGTCAGAAGTCATGCCTTTTCTTTCTTTTTCTCTTTTTTTCTACACCCTTTTCCCTCTCCTATTTTTTCTATTATTTGCTTTTCTTTGTGTTTTATTTTATATTACACACTAAATTGAAAGGAAAACAAAGTGATTAAAAAAGGATTGATTTTCCCTATTTTTTTCAATGCCATTTAGCTTTGAACGGTCACTAAACAGATGGTCTTAATCAAGGATTCCCTGCACTAGCATCACATCACTATAATATAAATGTAACGTATACTACTCTGGTTTCTCTTTGGATAGTATAAATCTTTTCTTAGGGCAGATATACCAGTAATCTTGGTGCAATGGATTAAACCAGGGGTGTCAAACTCATAGCGTCATGTTGTTGTCACGTGACGTACCGTGAGAGAAAAGAGAAGAGACATCTTTATTATGGTCAAAGACCAGCAATAGACATTACATTTTTACAATATATTTAAAAATACTGACATTAAAAGTGAATAATAGCATCCCTGTTAAGAAAATGCATGCTCTCAAACTATTCGGGTCACTCCCTGGTTTACGTGGGTAAAAAGCCGATAAGTATGAGAGTAGATATAATGGTCCAGAAATTGTTAGAGATATGTCCAAATAATTGGTACAAGATAACAACTATAATTCTGTAACCATTTTTTTCTTGTGGACATTGCAGCAACACAGAATTTTGCTACTGCATGCGTGGTAGCCGTGTTTGTGTCGTGGAGGAGAAAGCCTCCATAAAAATTGTCTGCCCTCCTGGCAATCTCTAATAAAGGGAGAATATATGCAGACCTATAAACTCTGTATAGCTCACAGTATAATAGAACATGTGAGATATCTTCAACTTATCCTTTACCACATATACATAACTGTTCTGCTATTGGTGTTCTCTTATACCTGCCCTGGAGGAGTGCTGAAGGAAGAAGGTTAAATCTGGCTCGGAAGAAAGCTATTCTTTGTTTTGGGAAGATCAGATCATTTAGATATCTTGCCAATTCCCACACAC